AGGCTTATAGTATAACGTCCATAGAAAATCGGCAGCCAAACAAGATGGCAGAGTTGCCTTTCGCGCAAGCGTCTAACGCACAGGCGCCTTCGTCATCTTCACAAAGTGCCACACTTGCTCCTGTCAATGATGCACCGTAACATCACTCTCCCGTAGCGGAAGCGCCGTCACGGCGCTTGGTACGGCGGCGACGAACTAGCAGGGTGATACGGTTTGAGTCTGGAAATGTGGACAACGTCCATCTGGAGTGAGGGGGTCAAAAGGCATTGTTTAGGGGTGTGATCTTGTAGCTCACGTCACTGAGTTGTCGTAACACTTTGTAGGGGCCATGGCAATGTGGTAGTAGCTTCTCTGATAAGTCGACTTGGCGGTTTGGTGTCCAGAGAAGTACCAGAGACCCCGGCGAGAAGTGCACGCTTTGGTGGCAACTGTCATAATGGTGTTTTTGGTGCTCTTGTGATTAGTGCAGCTGATCATGTGTAAGCTGGCGGGCTGCATGGGCTCAAGAAACGACATCGCTGGCGTACTCAGTAGACAAGGGGGCAGCCGTCAAATGGTAATGCTGGATGTCGGCCAAATAGCAAATAAAATAGTGAATAACTAGCTCTGCAGTGCTGTAAATACTTGTGCGCAAAGGTGACAAACAGGAGTGCTTTGTCCGAGTCACGGTGATCTGGTGAAACGTACATTAACAGCATCTGCATCAGCATTCGGTTCAGACGCTTGGTCAATCAATTTGTCTGTGAATGATAAGCGTTGGTAAGCTTATTGTGCTCAGTGGAGCAGGCGCAGAGAATGTCATCAACAACACGTGAAAGGAAGTACCTTCTTCGATCAGTAAGCTGCTGCCACGGAGCATCGTGATGAAGAATGACTTCATACAAAAGAAAGTTAGCGACGTCGGTGGAAAAGCTTGTCGGGACTGCTTTAGTGATGGCAAAGCAGTGTGGCGTAATTTGTGGCAACTGCAACCCATTTACTTCCGGAGGTGGACGTAGGAAACGTGCCCAACAGTTCAAGGTCAACACGGAAGAATGGTTCCATCGTTATGTCAATGGGCTGTAGCTGACCAGACGGTAGCACAGAGGGGCGCTTGCGGCGGTCGCAAGCAGTGACGTAGCGAACCACAGAACGATACAGTACAGCCCAGAAAAGCGACGTCGCACACGATCCTAGGTACGAGAGACGCCTAGGTGACCGGCTGTAGGTACGTCGTGTAGTTGTTAGAGAACGCTGGTACTCAGATCGATGCACGAGTAGTAATTCCGGGCCATCGGGGTTGAAGCTGCAACGGTACAGAATGTTGTGCAGTTCGAACAGGTGAACAGAAGGGTCTGTTGGAGCAGAGGTCAGACGCTCAATGATGGAGAGTAACGATGGGTCACGTCGTTGTTTGGTGGAGATATCACACAAAGCGTGGATGGAGAGCACGCAGGGGTCCGATTCAAGATCTGTAAAGTCGGGCGTTTCAAACGGATGACGTGACAAACAGTCTGCGTCTGTGTTCAGGCGTCCCGACTTGTAGTGGACCACGAACGAGTATTCTTGCAGGCGCAGCACCCAGCGGTCGTGACGTCCAGACGGGTCCTTTAGCGATGGGAGCCAGCATGATGGTCAGAGCCGGCGTAATAATCAGTAACAACGGAAAAAGTTCGGCCATACAGGTAAGGCCTGAATTTTTTCACGGCCCACACTAAAGCTACAGGTCTTCACCTGTAGCTTCACGACTGGCGTAAGCAATTATGCGGTCCTTCCCGTGCTGTCGTTAGCTGAGGACCGCCCCAATTCCATGGCCACTGTTATCGATCCGAAGCTCTGTAGGTGATGCAGGGTCGTAATCGGCGAGTATTGGTGGCTTAGTCAGCAGATGGGTAAGAGCCGAAAAGACGTCCGCTTGCTGTATGCCCCATGCGAAGGGAACGTCCTTCTTTAAGAGATCAGTAAGCGGTCGAGCGATGTCGGCGAAGTTGCGGACAAATCGAGGAAATAGGAACATAGCCCTAAAAAAACTTCGGATTACTTAGTTGAACATGGTTCAGGAAATTCTTGTACTGCTCCCACCTAGTCGGGATCTTGTTGAACACCAGCGGTACTGACAAGGTGGCAGAGTATGGTGATTTGGTGATGCTCGAAAGGGCATTTTGCAATATTGAGCTCGAGAGCGGCTCTTTGAAAAACATCCAAAACGAATGGTAGACGTGTGATTTGGCTGTCAAATTTGATTGAAAAGACGATGACATCGACTAAGTAACATAGGCAGATGGAGCACTTATATCCTCGGCGAAAAGAATCCATCATGCTCTCGACAGTTGCCGGCGCATTACATAGTCCGAACAGCATCACTTTGAACTGGTAGAGGTCGTCGGGCATGACAAAAGCGGTTTTTTCACGATCCATGGGGTCGACGAAAATTTGCCAATAGCCAGACCGAAGGGCGATAGACGAAAAGTATTGAGCACCATGGAGGCAATCGAGGGCGTCATCAATCCGAGGCAAAGGGTAGACATCTTCATGAGTGACATTGTTTAAATGGTGATAGTCCACGCAAAAGCGCCAGCTGCCATCCTTCTTTACAACGTGCACGACGAGGAGGCCCAGGGGCTAGATGATGGTTCTATAACGTCTTCAGTAATAATTTTGTCGACTTAATTCTTATAAAATACTTAAAATACCTAATTTACTTAAAATAATTTGTAAATTCTTAAAATACTTTAACCAATAAATACTTATTCTTAATAATGAGTTATGCACAAGCTAATCCAGACTTTCTAATTTTATTTCTTGGATTGAAGTAGCAATCAAAAGTTTACAGAAAAAAACTCTGCAAGAGAAGGTGATCTAATCAAATGTAGAATTGCCTTTTTGATTAAACTCTATACTTCTCATTACTGAAGAAAACTCGACCCGCCATGATGTCCCAGCAGTTATGGCGCTCGACCAAAGGTTGCGGAATCAAATCTGGGCAGTGACAGCCGCATTTTGAATGGAGGCAGGAATGTCATCTGAAGGCACTTGATAAATTCCTAGGGATAATCACTTTTCTCTAAACTCAACAGCCAAGGAATGTAAAAACTTTTTGAGGCACCTTAGCCTTTTAATTCCTGAACTATGACACTGCCAAAGAAAAATTTGTTTGCTTATTTTCAGCTCTGCATAGCAACCTTGCATTCATTCTGCAGCTAAATCATCTAAAACTCAACTTTAATGCATACTTTTAGGCATGTCGCAAATTGATGACATGTATTCGCGACATGCTTGCATGCATACACACACAAAATACACACACCGCTTGCATGGCGAGAAAAAATGAAGTGAGAGACATTGCGCATGCACCATGCTTTCCACTATCAGCTACATAACACCTGGTTTAGGCATTAAATTCTTTACACAAGGCTGTGCTAGATTTTTCCTGCTGAAAGCTACCTTCCTGGTGAGTACTTCACAAACGACGTTAAAGGCAGCACACTTTTTTGACTTGCTTGGTCAGAGTTTTCCGGTATATCCCAAATTCGTGACACACTTCATTAAAGGGTTTCATAAAAGATCACCTTTTAGCAGAATTGATCAGTTGTGTAACCTCTACATTAGAAATACTGGCACCCCTGCCCTTCTGGGCTTCATTGGGATGAAGTCTGGAGATGTGGCGACGGAGAACACTTCTCTGTGAAAAAGTTGCATTGCAATGGCTACAGGAATACGGACGCTCTCCTGTGTGGGAATGTATGGGTCTTTGAGGCTGGTTTTCCGTTTAAAAGATGCATCACAATAAACACATGAGTAAGGCCGCTCTCCTGTGTGGGTTCGCATATGTTGCTTGAGGTTGCATCTATGGGAAAAAGAGGCATCACAGTGGCCACAGTTAAAAGGACGTTCGCCGGTGTGGGTGCGCATGTGCTGCTTGAGGGTGTGGCTCAGCCCAAAGGCTGCGTCACATTGGTCACAGGAAAACGCTCTCCAGTGTGGGTGCGTACTACGTGTCCCTGAGGTCAGGCTTTCAAAAAAATGATGCATTGCAGAAGAGACAGGAGAAAGGACGCTCTCCTGCGTGGGTGCACATGTGCTGCTTCAGGTTACATTTCTTTGAAAAGGATTTAACACAGCAAAAGGGACGCTCTCCTGTGTGGGTGGGCAAGTGTTTCGTCACGCTCCATTTCACTGAAAAGGACGCATTGCACTGGGTGCAGGAGAAAGGACGCTCCCCGGTATGGGTGCCAATGTGCTCTGTGAGGCGGACTTTCACAACAAAAGTAGCCGGGCAAAGGTGACACTGGAAGGGACGCTCCCCTGTGTGTTGGCGAAGGTGCACATTCATGTGTCCTTTATCCGTGGTCGTATAGGCACACTGCCGGCAGGAATGCAGTCCATCTTCTACACACACAAGCAAATGGTACTGGTCACGGGATTTCACAGAAACGGAACCTGCATAGCCACAGGAAGCACAGCAAGGCAATGCAAATTATAGATCCCACAACATACATATAACTAGACTTGAGCAGCGAAATAACAAGAGTTGCTGCACTTATAAATAAGTGTGTCTGATGACCTTCACCATTGCGAATGTGTTACTTTAACACACCAGTACATTGATTCAGAACATGCCTCATACAAGTTGCCGTCTGTCTATGCACAGATACTTAATCGATGCAAGTACCACCAAATTTGAATGTCAGTGCACCAAAATAGGAAAATGTGTCTCTGTAAAGAATATAGTATTTAGTTTTACGCGGCTCACGAAATTCGGAATAGCTTAGGACATGCACACTAGCTACACCCCTACACCGAGGAACTATGTCTAAATAGAGATTCGCTTTTAGTATTTCGCCTACACCAAAATGCGACCACTGCTGCCGATCTAGAACGCACGTTCGCACACTAACCCATCAAACTAATTATTAGTGTTTCAAGTAGAAGTCTCTATATAACCGAGCAGATGAAAACAAAGAGGGACTCCTCGGTTTATTATATTCATGCCAAAGATAACCAAATAAGAAGTACGTTACCTTCACAGAGAGTAACTGTATTCGCATCATGTCCATCATCAACACTCGCCTTTTCGTCCACCAAAGCCATACCTTCATTCGCATTATGCCTGTGATCAACAATCGGCTTCAAGTCCACTGTAACTTCATTGGCATAGTGTCCGTGATCAACACACGGATCCACGTCCTCCGTAACTTCATTCCATAGAGCCCATGATCAACACTCGGCTTGTTGTACACCAATGCGATAACATCGTTCGCATAATGTCCGTGATCAACAGTAGGAATCACGTCTACCGCAACTTCATTCGCATAATGATTTTCGTCAACCAAGCCTTCAACACTCGGTTTCACATCATTCACTGCACTAGTCGCTGCCAGAATGCCGTCCATTGCACCATCGCCTTCTCTAGTTAGGAGGCTATGAACTATAGAGAAGGCCATTATTGCGCAAGTTTCACCTAGAGGACGTCGCCCGTCGCGGTTTCACTTTACGCAGCGGTCAGGAATGAAGTTACCACTCAAACCTTGAACAACTAATGCAAATAACACCAGGATAACACATTCAAAAGTCCCAGATCTGCGAGACGCATAGGTAGCATAGTTTTCTGGCTATTATTGGCTATATTTCTTTTTCGCGGTTGTCAATGATGATGGATGTTGCCAAAAATACTCTCTACTGGGTTTTCACGTATCAAGCTAACTAAATGAAAGAAATTTGTTTTCAAAAAATGTCGTTTTTGGTGTTTGCTTATGTTGAGTTCTTGTCATTTTTGGTGAACAGAGATTTGTGGATAACTTTTATGGCAAAGATGCACGCAAACAGACCACTGTCAATTACGAACCAAAAACTGTAAGTGCTTTGTGTACGTATTAGTTTAATGAGTAGTATTTGTGGTTACTAAACAGCAATCATATCAAGTGCTCAAGATGTCATAATGATCTACTTGCATCGTCAACGCGTAACATGGTACAGGTGTTGTTCACGCTCAAGGACACGTTTGTGAGTCTGTGTGAACCATCAAACTTAATCATTGCTTTGTTAAATGATGTACCCTGTCGTTCTCTCGTCAACGGCCCTCTACGGTATCTTGCAGTGCTTGTCTACGGCCCACGGCCACCTGGACCGGGCCATAGAACACCTACCTGTTCACCAGGCGGCCGTGAGCGGCGCTTGAAAGATGAGAGGGTCGCGTAGTGTATGGATCCCCACCCCCACTCTCTCTCTCTTTTTTTTGTAGTAGGTCGTCTCACACATCCTCCTCAATCGTTTTTTTTTTTTTTTTCATTTGCCTTAGCTAGGGATATTTGTACGCCTGTATTTTTATATGCTAAGCCACTGTACACGCGGCATAGAGTTTCATGCACGCGCACCACTTCATCATCACATAACATCATTTTGTGAAAAACTGTGATTTACTCAAGCAGGTTTATATAAACATTAACATCCTTAATTTGAGTATGGCCCCAAGGGCCATTATATGACGCCAACGCCTACGTCTTTTCTTTTGCGGTCTGTTGATTGTCAAAAGTACTAGGTGTTGTCTTGTGGTCCTGTAGGCAGTCGCCAGAGAATGCAGGCCACGCGCTCACGTGTTCCCTTTCATAAGGAAGACATTGTACATTTGTATGTCATTTCAATTATGGCTGTTAAAAATAAAGAAGTGGTACAGGGGCTTGTGAAGAGGCGCGAGAGACTCGGAGAATACGAACTAAGCAAGAGGCGAAGCTAGCACTGACAGAGTAAACATCGCCGTTTAGAGTAGAGACAACGGGTCCTTGTTCTTAACAATAACAGAAGCACATTTGATATTTTTAGAGAAATGCAGATTGAGCACTGGGCCCTGACATTGGAAAAAGCATGCCTGCACGAATTATTAGCACCGCAGCGCTGCTTTAAAGTGTCTAGGTCCTGATACTGATGCTGTAAAACCACACCAAACACAACGCACACACACATATATATTGTACCGAAGCATAGTGGCGCCAGCTCTGTGCCAGCGTGAAAGAAGACGTTGACGTCCATGTGTGGCTCGTGTTTGCCGGGTTCCTGCCTGTACCAGCATGTTGCGGCTAACGTTTCTCGAATAATAACCTGTGTTTTACGCAACCTGCCTCGTTGCATTTGATGGAACGTGCTGGGCTAACGTCCTGGAGCTCGGCAGCCGTAAGCTACCATCTCAGTCCGCGATGACGAGCGCGTCGATCCCCCACAAGGCTCTTCCACGCTGCACCTGTCATGTGTTCTGGTGTACTTTGTCTGCGTGACCCACCAGTATACAACGGCGCTGAAGATCAAGATGTCGAGGACTGGCTAGCAGATTACGAGCATGCCAGCGCGATTAACAAGTGGGATGACCCAGCGAAGCTGACTCATGTCATCTTCTACTTGACGGATTTGGCCAACCTGTGGTTCACCAACCACCAGGCCGACATCCCCACCTGGTCGGTTTTCAAGAGGCCGTCACCCTCGTTTTTCCGGTCGTCCAGGCATGCGTAAGCTTCGCGCTGAACTGGGCCTGCGGGGACGATTTCAGCGAATTGGTGAGAGCTTCACGAGCTACCTTGATGATGTGATCAGTCCTCTGTAGGCGAGTTGATTGCGAGGATGAAGGAGGCTGACAGAATAAAGAATATATGGTAAGGCATTGATGACGACGCTTTCATAGCTTGTCGCCAAAGATCACAGACAGTCACTGCCGTGATTCAGCCTATGTCAAAGTTTCGATGAGCTGCGCAAGCTACGAATTTCTACACGTCGCGCTTAATACGGAACAGCTTATATTTCGGCTTTGGAGTGCAAAAGCAGTGGCCCCGGCTACAGCGTGTTAATGCCTCAAATTCAACAGTACATCCGGAAGGAAGTTGCTCGACAGCTCTTTCTTGTCGCCACCATCAACGAGACCCCCACAACCACTGGACCACTCACATTCGCTGTGCTATTCAGACGCAAGTTGCCAAGGCTCTCCCTTCGCCCGCGTCCCCAATATCAGTGGCTGCATCGCTGACTTATGCGGAAGCCGTCCGCCGACCTCCTGTCGAACCGCCGCTCCCTTCATACGGTCCAGCCACCAAACTACTACAGGTCCCCAGTTTTGGTTTATCCAGTAAATCGGCCCTTTCTACCACCTCGAGCACCAGTAAACTCTTGGCGTACTCCGGATAACCGGCCCATCTGCTACAACATTGGTATTTCAGACATGTCGCGCGTTACTGTCGTCGCCGTGGATTCTATTTTAATGATGTTCAGCATTCTGGCAACATACCTCGGCAATCAGAATCGCATGTGACACCCGATTCACATGACCTCCGCTCACGGTCGACCAGACTTCAACCGACGTCGATCTCCTTCACCCCGTCTTCAGTCTCTTTCCCCCATGCTTCGCCGTTCCAACCATGCCCAGGAGGAAACTAGCTGTTGCAGTTCTTGAGGCAAGAGCTGCACCACCGATGAAATTTCCAAGGCCTCATCTTTTGCCCCCTAACGAGATTGCCGTTTTTGTGGACGAGTTCTCCACAACTGCTCTTGTCGACACAGGTGCGCTATTTGTATAATCAGTGAAGTGTTATGCCGCAACTGAACAAAGTGACGACTCCACTGGTTGAAATTCTTTACGCACAGCGAGTTTGCAACAGGTCCAACCTTCTGCCACATGCACTGCTCGTGTTGTGATTAAGGAGTGCTTTACATCGTTGACTTTGTCGTCCTTCTGCATGCGTCTGATGAAATCATCCTGGGATGGAACTTTCTTTCAGCTAATCATGCGGTTAATAATAATGAGATGTAACAGACAATAGTGCATATATATATATATATATATATATATATATATATATATATATATATATATATATATAATATATATATATATATATATATATATATATATATATATATAATATATATATATATATATATATATATATATGTGTGTGTGAGTGTGTTGTCGCTTGAGAAAAGACACGCAGTATTAAGATACATGATGGAGCTGGCCGCAAATATTGAGAATTTTAGCCCTCCTGGTCATCTTAAGTTGTGCCCATTTCGAACCATTTTTGTTTTCTCGGAAATCATATTTTCAGGTATTTTTCGGTAAGCGAACAGTCGTACCTCTATTGCAAGTAGTCATATTTATTACAGCTTTGCACACTTTCTTATATAGGCGTGCAAGATCGTGTCCCAAGATTGAATATGACATATGTGGTCTGTGATATGGCTGCGAAGGTGCCCCAGTGTATGGTATGTATGGTACACCCCATACACCAGGGCCTCACGAACTCATGAAGTCGTTAAGGCGTGGGTGGCCTCTCCTGTTGGCAGTGTAGTGCTGGGAAATCGTTATCAGAAAAAAAAAGGAGAGAGAAAAGAAGGAAAGAAAAAAAAAGCGCGGAATGTTAAATTCGGGGTCAGCGCACGGTGAATGTGTTGTGTATGGTATCGTCATCGGTCTCATGCTGTGATATACAGGTTTTGTGTACATACAACAAAAACATAGCATTGCCTCCTGATTCTAGTTCTTTAGTGTTGCTTCGTAACACGCTCGCTCACAAGAAACATCTCACAACTTACGTCACCACAACTTCATCTTCAATGCCTGTTGCACCATGCTCCATTTTGTTTCACAATCAGCATGAATGCTTTTCATAATTGTGGTGCAAATGAATGCCACTTCGATGATCAGCATAAAAGCTTTCAGTATATTTATTTACATTACAGTGGTGTAGGCAGAAATTTTTTCAGGTGGGTTAAACCAAGCTTGATGTATGTGCGTGAATTTTTGTGTGCGTGTATACTGAGTCCACTATGAAAGTAATGCCCATGATTTTATTCTGACACAACTATTCATCCAAGTGGTCAAAATTTCCAGAGCCCTCCGCTACGGCGTCTCTCATAATCATATGGTGGTTTTGGGATGTTAAACCCCACATATCAATCTATCAATCAAACAACTGTCCATGGCAATGTGGAAAATAACAAAGAAAAAAGAGTGCCAAATTCTGACAGGATAAAGTATAAAGAAGGCAACACTTGACTTCTTTCTTTATCTTGTGTGCTGTGGCAATTCCGTGCTTTATTTTCTCTGTAGTAAGTATGAACCAACTACATACCCCAAGCCTAAACCTTAGCAAGTGTGGTAAAATTGGTCGGGCAATGTGTTGGGGGTCTGGCCTTCTTGCACAGTCAGTCCCTAGTATA